ACTTAGAGAATGAAAAACACGGAGAGATATCATTAATGAACGGGTTAAAGAATAGAGGTCCTAATATGCTACCCTGAGGCATACCTGAGATAGCAACAAAATGGTACGAAGCAACACCATCTACGACAACCGCACTTATCCTGTTATGTAAGTACGATTTAGCCCACTTTCAAAAATTTGAATGAAAGCCAAACCACTCCAGCTTAGTTTAAAGAATTTTGTGGGAAATTTTTGGAGAAATCCGTATAAATCGTATCCACCTGCACGCCTCGACGAAAGGCTGAATAAGTCTTCAGTGAAGACAGAAAGATTAGTTAGCGTAGATCTTGCTGCAACAAAACCATGTTGGTTAGAACTGATCACAAGTTTGACGTGAAAGTAAAGTTTATCATTAACGATAGCTTCAAAAAGTTTGGCAGCGGTTGATAGTTTAGAGATCGGGCTGTAGTTAGAAATGTTATTCATACAACCGCTCTTAAATATCGGGGTGATAGAAGTTCGCTTCCAATCATCGATAAAAATTCCAGATGATAAAGATTTGTTGAATAATAATTTCAACCTGCGAATCACAACTCTTAAATAGAATTGCCGAGAGACCATCAGCATCAGTGTGCGAAGAATTTTTTATGTATCTTATCCCTTTAATTATGTCCTCATCGGAAAGAACGAGCGTTAAAGTCAACGGGAGAAGACATGGTAGAGGAAAGGTTCCATTGAATACAATTTAAATCATCGTCGGACACTGTTTTGGGTATGCATGAGGATTTTCTTTTGGAATTAATGTAGCGCCAAAAAAATTTCGGGTTATCCCTTACCTCCAGTTCATAGTTCCGAATATACCTTTTGTACAACACTTTGTTTAGCTCATTGAACTCTCATTTTTATCCGAATATACATTTGTACAACACTTTGTTTAGCTCATTGAACTCTCATTTTTATAGGACACAAATAAGTCATAAAATCGCTGCTCTTTAGTAGACTTAATTTTTTTAAAAAACTTATTTCGCAAACTCTTTAGCCGTCTTAGCTCATTAGAAGACCATGGTACCTTAAAATTTTTGCTATTGAAAGTTGGAACATATTCAGTGCACAGCTTAGCAATATTAGACTTGAAGATGTCTATGTGTTTATATAATAGAATATTAACGCTTATAGCGGTCAACGCCGGAAGAACAATAGTAGTACATACTAAGCTATAAATATGTACGGCGAAAGAACTTACTTTGATTAGTGAACATATATACATACTTACATAAGAATAAACGAGTACTTAAACCTTTGGTCGCAATATGTCTATACTTTTACATATTCGCATAGTCCACTGTTTTCCACGCAACAAAACGATTTCCAGCTGCATTCGTTTTTTCAGAAATTCACTTAAAATCCGAGAAAAAAAGTTTATTGCTGAGTTGAATCTACCAGGGTCGTTGTCTGTTACGACAATATTTTGACTGCCCACGGGGAGGCCGAGTTTGGCTAAGTAGAAGTTGAAAGTAATCGCTCTTGCGGCTTTCCCTGTGACTCTACTCGAAAAGGAAGCTAAAGGCTGAATCGAGGAGCGAGAGTGTTGCGATATGCTTAGCCTTTAACTGTGGACAAGCGGTGTCACAGACGTTTTTATCTCATATCGAAGAATATTGAAAATGCTGTGTATTTATTTAAATAGTTTTCGATTTCTTCCAATAAAAAATAATTCTTTCAACATTAAAACTTTTCTTTAAATACCCATTCAATCTATGTTTATTGCTGTAGATTTAGGAGACTGTGAGATTCTATGACCAGGCTATACCAAAGGTTAAAGAGCGGCTTTGACCTTTAGAAGGCTTAGGATATTAACAAAAATGCGAAACGTTGGAATCTACACACATATATAAAGTGGTAGAAGAAATAATATAAACTTTTTATTTTGACCAATTTTGCCTAAATTTCTTTTTTTTTAATCGTTGTTTAACATTTTTTTTATAAAAGACTAGCGCATTATATAACACGCACCATATAAATCCACATTTCAAACTTTAGACAAAAATTCAACAAATTTTACCAAAACTCTACAAAAATTTCAAACCTTTTATAAGTGCACATTTCCAGACGAATTTTCTTCCATATCAAATATGCTCCACAATATCGTTTGTATGGGATAAAATGCCTAGCACCATCAGCAAAAAAAATTATTAAAAATCAATGCGATTTTCTAGCGTCCTGAACATTGTACTGTAACCTACTACTTATTTAATTTAATAAGCTACAAAACTGCTTACCCAAAATTTTTCTCAAAATTCTAAATAAAAAGTTTACAATTTTTGGTGCAAATTTTAAAGTTTGTTAAATTTTTCTAATTTTTGTACCAAGTTTGAAATGTTCATTTATGAAATGCTGATTAGGTAAAGTGCTAAACTTTTATAAAAAAATATAAACATTAAATAAACAAAAAAAAAATAGCCAAAACTAGTCAAAATGTCACTTGACTTAATCAACTGACCACAAGTGTATTTTATATGGAGAAAAAAGTTTTCGTATAAATGGTACAGAATTCTTACAAATAATTTTTTTTTGATCGCAAAACTGTGTTTATCTTCAGAAGACTGCTGATAATCTGATAATACCAAATTTTTTATTTTACTATTTTTTATTTCTAGCGATTTATTATGGGTCCCTTCCCCCCCTCCCCCCCCATTGCATGTTTTGAGGTTTTTAGGGGTCCTATAAAAAATAGTTTATTTAATGGTTAAATAAAAAATGGATATTATTTATTATTGAAAGTCTCGTGGGGAGAAACAAAGTTTTCCGATCGAAATAATATTGGTTTTCAAGAATTCTGTACTATTTCTACGAAAACTTGTTATTTCCATATACATACATAAAATACATTACAAACTTTGCGCACTTTGAGCAAAATGTTTTTTGATTACAAAATAAAAAAAGGGAATAATTTTGTTCGGTATAAAACATTAAAATTACAACTTTCTTTTTTTTGCATCACCTTAATGTACACATGTACATAGATCAGGGTGATTTCGGTTACGTAGACGCCAGAGTCGTGGGAAGGGAAGATTCGAAGTCTGCTACTTCGGAAAAGGTTTCCAAGTTTTTTTATGTTTTAATAAACATAAAGAAATGTTCTGCCAGGCATACTATTTGAATTCAGAAATTTGGTATGTATGTACTTTAGAC